CCCATAAAATCTTTCTATAAATTTTTTATTTGTATTTATATTTAAAATTTAAATTAAAATGATATGCTCTATAAAACTTTTAAAGTGTATTTTACTTTGAAGAATAAAATTTCACTCTTAACAATTGAAAATTGAGCCACTCTTTTTAAAAAATGGTTAAATTTTCAATCTTAGAGTGAGATTTTACTTCAAAGAGCTTAGAGAATATATTTCTTATTTTAAAAATGAATGATCGAGTCTTATTGGATTCAAAATGGATCCTGAATCCAAAATCTAAATAGCTCATCAAATAACTATCTTTCAACCTTACAATTTCGAAACATTTTTTTCCAAAAATGTATTGTTCTCAAGATATTTTGGATCTTTGTTAAAATTAAAATGGCCAAATATGTTTCAAACCATATCAGATACAGAATCTATAGGAGCCAAAAAAAATTTGACTACCTAGAATATTTATTTCAAACTGTCTGATCTGTGGACTAGTAGCATTAGTTTTCTTTAATCGCTTTTGCAATTTGGAGCGTTCCTTAGTTGTAAAAGACATTCAAAATTTATCAGACGCGAGGAATGGTAATTTCCCTTCTTGCCGATTGAGTTGATCGTTGTTGCGCTCCGGTACACACAGATGGTAGCATTCGACCGCGTTACTCGGAATCCGGAGAACGCTCGAAAACGCCGACTCTATACGGGCTGTCGGAGAGGCGCCAGCCGGACAGCCCCCGAGTCGGAGCGGGGAGCGCAGGACCTGGAGCGGAAGCACGAGGGGAAGGGTGCGCGGTCGGCGAGGGATCGTAGAATCGCGGCCTCGCGGGTCGCGTCAGTTGGATAGCAACTGTCGGGCACGTGGCGTCGCTCGTTGTCGGGATAAAAACGCGTGCGCGAGTGGTGTGGTTGGTGTTGATGGTGGCAAGTGGCGGTGCGCGAAAGACCAGGGTGATACTCTCTTCTCCTCCTCAGTCGTTTATCGCGCGCTTATATTCTTTTCCTCAACTCGAGAGAGCCTGAGGGTCTCGCCCTCAGAAGAGACGGGCGGTGAAACTTAAACGAAACACGAAAACATGTGATTCTCTGACAGAACTTTTCACAACCCCCGTCGCGCGATATACCCTTCTTCCGGTGCCGTTCGCGTCCGCCTCGCGAGGGTATAGCGGTGGTTACCACGTACTCGCATCGCCCGCCGGGATACGCCGCTGGACCCCCTCCCCCGTCTGCCTGTCCCTTCAATCGTGCGCGTCGAGGGTTCGTCGCCGCGCGCCGCGGAGGAGGATATATGATGTTCTGAATTTCGGGGCAGCGAGAAGAGCCACGCGCGCATCATCATGGTCACAAAGCACTTCGCATCACAGGGTGAGTTTCTCTCCTCCTCCTCGCCTTTGTGTCCGGAACGCCGCTCCTTTCTCTTCTCTGTTCTTCCCATCCCGCTGCAACCCTTCTCGGCACTTCTCGGTGCATGTCTATTTCGCCCCCGCCCCGAACGTGTCCTGTATGAATGCGATAACGCGCGTAATTCCTCGTCGCCGTCGCGACGCCTCCTTGTAGGCGTACGTCGTCGACCTCCGAGAACGGGTGGGTGCTATACTGGGTGGTGCACAGCTCGATCATAATATACC